ACAAGAATGTGTGATATAAATTCCTCATATGTGTGATATAAATTCCTCATATTTTTCATAGAAAACTGAACATGGAAGATAATAAATATTTAATTCTTATCTGCAGAGTCAACTCAACAAAAATATTGAAATCTCATTCATTTTGCAGTAAAGGAAAAATGGACCTAATAGGTTTAGCTGGTGTGCACCTTGCTGAAAAATCTCATATATTCAACCAACGTGGTTTCAAAATGACTACCTTATGATCCTCAAACATTCAGTGTTTTCTAATTTACTCAGTAAGGCAGGAAACCTGGCTGACTGTGATCCTCTATCCTTACAAAGATTTATAAAACCTCAGTACCTTCAACTGTTGCATTTGCCCACATGAGCAATTATAGAGAAGAAATAAATGAGGGAAAGCAAGGAGGAAAAAAGATACAATTCTTAGTTGAGCTTTCCTTATACACATTCTACACATTAAAACATATTTTGTGCAACTGGAAGTTTTCAGGTATGTATTGATAAATATGATGGTTTCTCCATTAAGAAGTCTTGCAACTTTAAGCAAGTTCTTTAAGTCTTAGTTTCCTCAAGATAAAAGACTGGTCTGGTAAATCCATAAGATCTCTCCCAGCTGACAAATTATATACTTCTAAAGCTCAAGAAAATCTTTAAAAAAAATAATGTTTAATAATTGGGGGTGGAGGACATATACATTAATGCAACCATGTGGCCTTGAAAATAAAAATCAAAATAAAAATCAAAAATCAAAAACCAAGAGTAACTTAAAGCATAATTACATTAAAATGATAATAAAAAATACAGAGATAGATCGATGAAGGGGGTTAAGATTTAACGATTTAACGTCAGTCACTTGAAAGGGGGAATAAGGTAGTGGAGACAGTGTTATCCATATAAAATCAACGATCACTTGATTTGATTTCTTAAGCCAGAAAGTTTCTGCATCAGAAAATCACCTAACAGGTGAGAGCACAACATTAAAGACAATAAGTTGCAATAGCGAAGCTGTGAGAAAAAGACATCAAATGATAATTAACACACAAAAATGTATCTTTTTAAATGCAGTGATTTTTATCCATTCTGTAATCTCAAAAAAAAATGCAGCCTTTGTCTAACTGCTCTTCCCCTCCTCATCCTATTTGAAACTATGTTCTCAAGACCATCACGGTATGCAGTTTTAAACAGGGTTCTTAACTTTCAGTCTGTGTTTGAAACTGGTCACTTCACTTAACCAGCTCCAAAACTGGCCCGCATGCCCTCCCTTGGGCTTCCCCGGTGGTTCAGTGGTAAGGAACCTGCCTTCCAGCGCAGGACACGTGGGCTTGATCCCCGGGTTGAGAAGATGTCCTGTGACACGGCAACCTGATCCAGTATTCTTGGGACATCCCATGGACCGAGGAGCCTGGCGGGCTACAGTCCGTGGGATGACAAAAGAGTCAGACTTAATTCAGTGACTAAACAACAACAACAACATTCCCTTCCTCAGCTTTTCCCATCACTGAATGGCGAGATAAACAAACCTTTACATGAGAACAAAGAGTGGAAATCAGAAGTTTCTATTAGCTTTCCCTGATAATTTAGGGGGGAAAAAAATAGCATGATTTTTAAATGAATTGTCTTCTTTCTCATTTGGGTTCTAAGTTATTCTACCACGGACCTACAAATCTAGTAGAGCTGTTCAGGGACTCACCCTAGAAGTATTTTTAAGAAGCAGAATAAATTTTACTGTTCTGTACAGAAAAAAAAAAAAGATTTCAGAGACTTCCCCGGAGTATTCATTTCTCTGTAAATAACAGGAATGCTTAAAAAAAAGAAAAAAATACAACCAGTGACAATCATATTTAAGGATGAGAAGTTACATTTGCCAAAATCCATCCCTGAAATACGTGAGGATGGTTCAGTAGATTAAATCAGCAATCGTCACAGAATTTAAACCCCCCAAAGTTGTAAACAAAATATATAGAGTGCTCTTTTGTTCATGACATGTCATGAACAAATTACCAAAATGTGTTTTCTCCTCAGGTGTCAGTTTTTCCCTCTTTTAGTGACTGATGGTTCCCAGTGTTATTACAGAAACAGATTGATCTTTTTAATGAGCCAGTTTAATAGACTCCAAAATCTCACCGTGGCTGCTCATCCATGTCAGACCATATGCACCAACAAAACATTCAGTAAAACAAAAAACAGCTCTGTCAGACAGCTCCATACTCTATAAAATTTCATACAGTAGGTCTGGATATACAGATAAATAACTGGAGAAGAGAAAAATGCATATGCAAACAGGATGCAGAAAATATATGCAAAGAAACACTGTAGAGGCCCATATTTTCTTGGCTCTGATGAAATTCCCACAAGATACAAATGTGTTTACACAACATATTCTCGTTACCCTTCCTCCGAACTCTAAGGAAATCCATTTGCCATCTTTCCATTATAACACTCACTTCAAGGTTCCACTTGAAAAAGAATGCTCCAGCCAAAGAGCAACTGTGTGAATTCTGACTCCAGCAACTGTCTATGAATAACCAGAGGGGAACAAGACTAAAGGCTCTTTTAAGAAAGTTCTATCTGACTGAACACAAACACGCATGCGTACACCGTTACAGATCGTCACAACAAAAATGCTGATTTTCTGTGGAATTCATACGAAGTTTCCATGTCGACGTTAGCACGTTGCCAGGCTTACCTCAATATGGTTCAAGAGAGGTCTAAAGTTACAGGATATTCACATATAAAGCACTGGGATAGAAACAGTGGAGAGAGGGCTGAAAATATAGAGAAGTGGATAAAACAAGCTTTTATTCTGCCTGTTACGGTTACTGAGCATTTAAAGTTTCTAGAATAGATTGTGTTCATGTCTAATTTTGGCTGTAGGATTATCTTTACATGTATCACAGTCATCTAAACCTTTCCCTGTTATCCCTTCCTCCACCCAAATAAATGTCCTCCTTCCCAACTTTCCATCTAGTCTCTCCCTAACTTTCTTTACTGCACTGTCTTGGAAAAATGGAGCCGAAGCATCTCAATACCAGCACACAGGACTGGTTCCCTTCAGGGTAAGAGGTTAGGATCAGACAGGAATTCACATCTATCCTTGGGCTGGCTCCTGGTTTTCAGCATCTCGGGGACATGTCACTCAGACACCTGGATTAAGCACTCCCTTTAAAGCTATAAGTACCAAATGCTTAAATACGACTAGGAAAATACAGCTTGCAAAAACAAGAAAGTAGCACTGTTGGCAGGTCATGGAAGGAGGTTGGGTCTACAGGATGTCAGAAGTAAACTAACATTTAACCCTTTGCTTTAGGATTTTAAACTATTAAAGAGGTCCCATGTCACAAGGAGAAAAATTCCAGAGATTGGAGCATAAAAACTGCTTAACAGAGGATTATGTAATAACTATATGTAAACTGGCTGGCTTTTAATAACATTCTGATTTGCAAAGCAGCTAATACATTTAAGGGTAGCTAAGTCGGTCACAGATAGAAGGATGTAAGCTCCTATGAATCTGCGCCAGAGTGTTAACCCTTCAAAGGCTAGTCTCCTCTTGCCTAATAAAATGCAGAAAGAGTGAATGGATAAACAGAGGAAGGAAACAAAGCATATGACAAATACCTTTCTGAATACAGTTTCATTTTAAGATTCTCCATATTTTACAAATGCAAGATACTAATAAGACTTCATATTTTTGCATTAGAAAATATTTATAAATGAAGCTGAGGTATTCAGGAAACTTATTTTAATAAGGTACATTGGAAGTTTCGTGTGTATGCCTTATTCAACAAGTAATTTGTAAGGTTTCATGGAGAAGGGGCTTTATTTTACATTTCTTAGAATTCTCAGTTATGACAGCAGAGAACCTGGAGGAATGAATATTGACTGGTAGATAAAATTTATCAGAAAAAAATGCCACCTATTAGTTCTATTACTGAACTCTTATATTCACTCAGTTCAACTAGCTTCACTGAAGTTTTTTCTTAGTTCATAGAAAATCCAAATTAAACAGCTACTGTACTGTGTTTAGGCCAGACTTCAAAATGATCATGTTCTGAGAAAACTTGGAATAATAAATTATTGGAATAATAAAATATGTGCTTTGGATGAATCATATAGTAAATGAGAAGTTTAATATAGGCATACCTTGGAGACACTGTATGTTCCATATCAAATCACCATGATAAAGCAAATAAAGCCAGTCACACAATTTTTTTTTCCTTTCCAGTGCTCATAAAAGTTCTGTTTACACTATACTATAGTCTCTTAAGTGTACAGTAGCACTATGTATAAAAAAAGTATATACCTTACTTAAAAAACAATTTATTTCTTAAAAACACCAAAACAATTACAATGGTTAACATTAAAGATGACTGACCACAGATAACTGTAACAAATATAATAATGAAAAAGTTTGAAATATTGTGAGAATTACCAAAATGTAGCAAAGAGACACCAAATAAGCAAATGCTCTTAGAAAAATGGTGACAAGAGACTAGTTCCATGCAGGGTTGCCACAAACCTTCAGTTTAAGAGGGAAGGAAAGAAGGGAGAGAAGGGAGAAGGAAGGGAGAGAGGGAGGGGGGAAGGCTGGAAGGAAGGAAGGAAAGCAGTATCTGTGAAGCACAGTAAAGCGCAATAAAATGTGGCATGCCTGTACTGTGTGTCTAATAAACATCAGTGGCACTTGGCGCATGCGAGGATCATTCATCTTTACCTTTTCCTTTAATATTTCAAGCAACAGTGTGATCATTTGTGATGCACAGAAAAATCAAGTCACTAGATTGTACATCTGCAACTGTCATAGTGCTGTAGGCCAATTAAACGTTAAAAAAAAAAATTACAAGTAAGAAAGCTTAACCTGCACAGGGCAGAGACTCATCATTCTGCAACACCCCAGGCCAGAGCAAGATTCCCTATGGCCCCTCCAGGCTATTATTTTGCAAGAGGTGTCAGTCAGTCATTGAAATAGACATGACACAGCCTCAGGCCGCCGGTCTCACCTGTCTGGAGTTCGCCTCTTCCCGTTTTCGTTCACATCGAGAAGCAGCTCTGAGGAGTCAACAGGTGAGGTGGTGCTGGCATCCAGAAGCAGCTGTTCGTGCTGGGCGAGGTACTGGGCAGGGTTCTGTTTGGCCAACCTCGCGCAGTGGAGGAGCTCGCGCTGCAGGAGCGGCAAGTTGGCCTGCAAGGGCAGAACAGGAATGAGAGCTGCCCAGAGGCTCCTTCCAGCCAGGGGACCTACTCCACTTGGCGCACACTGGCGGACCGGACCACACTACTCAGCTGAACGCGTGCAGCTCCCAGACTTCCAGCACTGGCTACAGCCTAGCTTCCCTCTGGGCCTGGGGTGGATAAGATGCCTGAGGCAGGTCCCACCCCTCCTATCTTCAGGCCCATTCGGAACACTGGGAGTGGCTCCCATTTAGCATTCCTTCCTAAGCTTAGCAGGGTGGGAGGTGGGAGGGAGCTTCAAGAGGGAGGGGACGTACATACACGGCTGATTCATGTTGATGTATGGCAGAAACCAAAAAAAAATGGAAAACAAATAACAACCAAAAAAAAAGAAAAACAAAAAAAAAAAAAACAAAAAAAAAGCAAAAACAAAAGCTCCCTTCATATTCAAACACTGTAACCTCTACAGGCTATCAGATTCCAGCTCCACCTACGAGCAACTTTCGTTTCCCACTAGGAAGATAGACGGTCAATACTGATTTCAGATTGATTATATTCTTTGCAGCCAAAGATGGAGAAGCTCTATACAGTCAGCAAAAACAAGACCAGATGCTGTTGTGACTCAGATGATGATCTTCTTACTGCAAACTTCAGATTTAACTTGAAGAAAGTAGGGAAAACCACTAGACCATTCAGGTATGACCTAAATCAAAGCCCTTACAATTATACAGTGGAAGTGACAAATAGATTCACAATATTAGATCTGATAGACAGAGTGCCTGAAGAACTATGGATGGAGGTTCAGGACACTGTACAGGAGTCAGTGATCAAAACCATCCCCAAGAAAAAGAAATCCAAAAACTCAAAATGTTTGTCTGAGGAGGCCTTATAAATAGGTGAGAAAAAAAAGAGAAGTGAAAGGCAAAAGAGAAAAGGGAAGATATATCTGTCTGAAAGCAGAGTTCCAAAGAATAGCAAGGAGAGATAAAAAGCCGTTTTAAGTTATAAGTGCAAAGAAATAGACACAAACAATAGAATGGGAAAGACTAGAGCTCTCTTCAAGAAAACTGGAGGTACCAAGGGAACATTTCACGTAAAGTAGGGCACAATAAAGGACAGCAAACGACATGGACCTAAGAGAAGCAGAAGATATTAAGAAGAGGTGACAAGAATACATAGAAGAGCTATGTAAAAAAGATCTTCATGACCCAGATAACCATGACGCTGTGATCACTCACCTAGAGCCAGACACCCTAGAGTGCGAAGTCAAGTGGGCCTTAGGAAGCATCACTACAAACATAGCCAGAGAAGGTGATGGAATTCCAACTGAGCTCTTTCAAATCCTAAAAGATGATGCTATTAAAGTGCTGCACTCAATATGCCAGCAAATTTGGAAAATTCAGCAGTGATCACAAGACTGGAAAAGGCCAGTTATTTAACTTTTTTAACTTATATGCAGAGTACATTATGCAAAATGTCAGGCTGGATGAAGCACAAGCTGGAATCAAGACTGCTGGGAGAAATATCAATAATCTCAGATATGCAGANAACTACTAATTTCAAATGAAAAAAGAGGGAGATGAACAAAGAAATTGTTTTTAATAATTATTAGAATCATGCATTTCAGTATTGGTCTGAGTCTGCTCAGATATTCTGCTTAAAATTCATGCACAAAGCAGCATATACTACTAGTTTACAAAGGTAATCTGCTTTCTTTGTATCAGATTTATTCCAAGGAATGTATATATTTAAGAGAAGAAATCCTGGGTACCTATCACTCTGAATCCTCACCAAGCCCAGCACTTGGAAAAAGACTGAGGACACACTTGTTGACAGATGATTCTGGCAACTCAAATGGAGTAAGAGGAAAGGAGACGATTTCACACGCAGAAAAGCATTAAAACAAAAACCTGAGAATCTGACTCTGAAAACTAAACTTACTCTGACATTATAAATCCAGAGTGCTGTTGCTTTTCCTTCTATGTGTCTTTTAATTTTTTACTTTTTTTTTGGAAGGGAGGGGAATAGAATGTATAATATGGAAGTATGAATAGCACTCATTCGCAATAACACAATTCTTCAAATTCAAAGGAAGAATCAATGACATAAGTAACTTTGCAACTCAGGGTTTGGGACTTCCATGGTGGCTCACCGGTAAAGAATTTGCCCGCAATGTGGGAGACCTGGGTTCAGTTCCTGGGTTGGCAATATCCCCTGGAGAAGGAAATGGCAACCCACTCTAGTATTCTTGCCTGGGAAATTTCATGGAAGAGGAGCCTGGTGGGCTACAGTCCATGTGGTCACAAGAGTCAGACACAACTTAGCAAC